AAAAATATGTATTCTTACATGTTTAAATTTCAGTCACCTTTAAAGTACTCTCCATTTGATTCAGTGTGCCCATTGAGATGTTTTTTCCCACTGCTCAGAACAGTTTTTGTACTTGTTGATTTTGATGCCTTTTAGTGCTTCTGCTATTTTTGTTTCATCTCTTCCATATTAACCAAATGTTTCCCTTTGAAGACTTTTTTCATCCAGGAAAACAAAAGTCACTCAGAATGAGATCAGGTGAATAGGGAGGGTGGGTGGGGCATGACATTTTTGGTCAGAAACTGCTGAACACTCAGTGCGGTGTGGGCAGGTGTGCTAATAAATCACCTATCAGGAAATGGGCAAATGCATTGAAAGAGACTCTTAAAAAAAACTCCACTGAAGCCAAATGCAGCTTCTCACAACAATGCCAGCTAGTACACTGACATAGATGGGTTCCCAGGACACTCACCTAGCAGTAGATGCCTTCTACAAGGGCCCCACCCTCCAAAAGATAATTCTGTTTTTGTGTGTGTGTGTCCTTGTATACATATAACCTTTTCAGAATTATAACTCATACCACTATTACTGATTGAATTTTAATTTGTAATTCTAGAGAACTACTAGGGAAAACAGCATACCAGGAGATAGATTCTAATGGTGGTTACTTTCATTAATTTAATTAACTTCAGTATAGCTCTTGTTTTCTTTTGTAATTATTTTTGACTTTGTTTATATATATACTAAAGAGATGAGAGATATGTACTAACTTACCTGCATGTGATCATAAAGAAATGGTGAAAAGATCTGAAAACCACAGGTTATTGAGGTGGCATCTATTTAATGCTTCATCCTGAAAACATGATTTTTTTTTCATAAAACACAAATGGTGTATGATCAGTAGAAACAGTTACCCATTACAGAAGTATATAATGGAGCATATATAGAAATTCCTCACAACCCTTTATGACAAACCAACACCCATACACATAGATCAGGTAACTGATGCTTTTTAAACTTGATCATTTTATAGTCTTCTTTTGAGGTTGACTCTTGTAAATCTGGCAAAGTGGTAGAGAGACAGCCCACTCTAACTATATGTCTGGGAAACTAAGGAAGATATTAGGAGTCTTTGTGGGGTTTTGGTAGTATAAAGATTGCTTTTTGGCCATGGTATCAAGGAAAGCCAGTTACTGCCTCTAAACTAGAGCCTTTCATCCATAGGTACTGGGGGTATTAAAATGAATGAACTTGGCTATTACCTTCAGGGGATTTTATAAGACAATTATACAGTAATTATAACATGAATCATGTGTTTTAGGAGGACAGAGGCGGGAGGGACCCACTACCTGGATCTTCATAGTGGAGGCGGTATTTATTTGTCCTCACCTGAGAACATTTTTTCATTACTTTTAGGGAGGGGGTGGGGAGTGAGGATGGGAAGGGGGTTGCAGGGATGGTGAGGGTGGGGATCAAACCCCCAACCTAGGTTTGTGTCCTGACTGAGAATTGAACCTGCAATCTTTCAGTTTATGGGATGATACTCTAAGCAACTGAGCCACACTGGCCAGGGTGTGTAGGTAGTATTTAAACTATCCTTTAGTATCTGGCTTTTCTCAGTGCTATTTCTCTGTATTAATTGAAGTAGTTTTCTGGCCTTCACTTTGCCATCTTTCCAATTCCCTTTCAGAAAGTTAATTAGACTTTTAACATCTGTGTCTGCTTATTTCATTCCTTTTCTGGAGACCTTCCATGCTTACATTTTGGATAAAGAATGGAGTTCAGACTCAAGAGTGGCGTCCAAAGCCCTGCAGGTCAGACCTCTGCTTGCCTGTTCGTCTTTCTCCACCATACCCTTCTCCAGGTACTCAGAACTACTTTCCAAAGCAGGTGTTTTTTATGTTTTTCTGTATGCCTTTGTCCTGTTATTCTCTCTGTATCAAATGCTTCTTCCTCATCTCTGCTGTCTGAAATCCTTCTCTGTTCTAGGTTCAGCTCAAATACATTTATCCTCCCTTCCGCTGTCTTCCAAGTTTGAAATGTTTCTTTTGGTAATTTCTATTTTCTCTGCAGTACTATTGGTTCCTGCAACTTGACCTTTTTGTATTTATTCTTGAATCTTTAACCACATATCCTTAATTACCTGTAGTCATTTTACACTGGAGAATTTTATGAATGTTTTGGCTTTTATCTTTTACTTCTTGATCATCTCTTTCAGATGCTTAGGTTTATTTGTTTATCACCAAATGTTTAAATTCTGGTGCAGGGCCTTCTGGGACAGAAGACAACTACATAGAATTATATATTAAAACTTTTCACTGAACATTAAATGTTTATATAGAATCGACAAAAAGTATTGATTAAGGGCATGTAATGTATTTTTGAATTAGATAGAACTGGGTTCTAGCCCAAGCTGTGGGTTTTTTTTTTTTTAGAAATTTACTTCACCTGTCTAAGTCTTGGTTTCTTCATCTGTAAATTAGGGCAATAATACTTTCTTCATCAGCTTTTTATGGGAGTTAAATGAAGGTAAATTAATTAGCCTGGTGTATGTAACATGTTAGGGTAGTAGTTTTTCTAGACATAGTTTTTCTAGTTCTTTTTGGGTGTGCCCAGTGTCTTTGTGAGTGCCATTGTTAACACTCCATGTTATGGAACTTCTCCTTTCCTATCAGTACACCACACACCCTTATTCATTGTCATCTAACACACCAGCCCAAGGAGGGAGTGTTGATACTTTCTTTAGCACCCCATTGTGTCATTTTACTTAACCCGCTTTGGAGAGCACTGCTTTAGGCATCTCTTCTGGGGCACAGGTCTCCGAAGGTCTCACTAAAGATATTTATTCCCTTTATAGAGTTGCTCTTCCTTTCCTGTAACAAGGTTTTATGTTCTAAGCTTATCCTTCCTCTGCTCCTGAAGGCAGTTATAAAATAAAATAGTATAATGAGAAAAACAGTTTGAGGGGTATGAGAATATTATTTCTATCTGTACTTGAAGCAATCAGATATAGTATAAGTTACCTATTTTTCTTTTTATGAGGTAAAAGTTTACTATAATATATTAAGAAGAGCTGTTTCTTTTGTAATTGGTTATATTGACTATAGTTTCGGAAATGTAAAATCTATTTTATTATAGAGATTAAGTTTCTTTAAAATGACAGTAGAGGGCACTGTGGTATTTAGTTTTTCAAAGCTTGTTTTAAAATGACGAAGTTGGCATTTTTCTGCGTAATGGAGTGTCTATTCAATTTACTGAAGGCATGAAACTCTTTGTCCTTTGCTTTTTCACTTTGCTGGGACTATAAAAATTTTGTTGAGTATTCGGAAATGAGGTGTACTATTTTTCTGTGTCCTACATTTCCTTTTCTTTTTAAGTGAGTGAAAGAAATCCTTTAAAAATAGTAATTCTTACAAATGTATTCACTAATCTTTATAGTTTGTCTATGTGAGGTTTTCTTTCTTTGTTAAAAAATGTTTAAAATGTGCTTGTTGATTTAGAGAGAGGAGAAGGGAGGAAGAGGTGGAGAGACAGAGAGAGAGAGAGAGAGAGAGAGACAGAGAGAGAGAGAGAGAGAGAGAGAGATGGAGAGAGATGGAGAGAGATGGAGAGAGATGGAGAGAGATGGAGAGAGATGGAGAGAGATGGAGAGAGATGGAGAGAGATGGAGAGAGATGGAGAGAGATGGAGAGAGATGGAGAGAGATGGAGAAAGAGACATGTGAGAAACATCCACTGGTTGCCTCTCATACGCACCCCAACTGGGGAAGAACCTGCAACCTACCTAAGTGTCCTCACCGGGAATTGAACCCCCAGCCTTTTGGTGTATGAGATGACACTCCAACAACTGAGCCACACCAACAAAGGTGTGAGATTTTCTTGATTCAAATTAGTATTATGAGAAAAATAGTTTTCAGTGAATATTTTGTAAGCAATTTAATTAAATTTTTGGAAAACATTTTTGTAGGTTCCAGCATTTCCAGTCATATGCCAGCTTAATTCCAGGTGCCCGCAGGCTGTCAGAGATAGTGTGCCCAGAGTGACAGGTTACCTCGTGCTGTAACATGCACTTTGGAAGCCAGTCTATCTTAGTCTGACAGGAGTCCTACATATTTATCCCTATAATCCTTAATGAGGAAAGGGAAAAAAAGCTTATTTTATAAAATTTCCTTGGGGAAATCAATTATTTGAAGATTATATTTAAAGAATATAATTTATATTAACTGGGTTGTATATATTTTACAGATGATAAGCCACAATGATGGAAAACAGTATTTATAATACATTTCTAGTTTATTATACATGTGGAAGAGGGAAAAACCTCAGCTCTTTACTTTGGTCATCCTATTATACATTAGCTGAAAAATGACAGTCATAAATGATTATACTTTTATAATAGTTGCCTACAATTCGTGCAGTAGTTTTTCCCCAGAACTTGCTTGGTGCTTTATTACTAGTTTTACGAAGGATGGAGTTGGAAGACCTAGTGTGTGTTCAAGATCACATAGCAAGGCAATGACATTGCCAGTGACGCATGTCAGTGCATTATTCTCCTAGCCTGTACCCAATTTTTTTCATATATATATGTGTGTGTGTGTATATATATGTATGCATATATATATATACATACACAAATCTAGAAGTATTTGACTTTTTAAAAAATGAATGTTCATTATTTATAAATAATGTTTTGATATGTAGTTTTCTGGTATTATTTTTTCCCTGTCAACCATCGGAGTTCAAAGGAAGGAAGGAGCTTTCCAACATATGGAGGACAAACAAGCTCCATGAGGGCAGGGTCTTTGTTTTGTTGTCCCAGGTGCCTAATATCTGGCCCATAGTTAGGTGTACAGTAAATATTAGAATAAAAATCTGCTGAATTTACAAATTATTTTATCCATTATCAATTTGAAATATTTAAATATTTAGGAGTTAAGTGTGGATGTAGGAAGAATTTTTGTTCTTTGGAAAAGGCTTTTATAACGAGAGCAATTACTGTACACTTATCCACTAGTTTAAGAGATGGCTTCACATTTGGACAACTCATTACCAGTGCAGTGTATGCAGACCACCGTGGAAGAGGAAAGTGTGAGGAAACTTGCTGTTCAAGTACAGGCTAATAAGCACAAGTTCATATTGTAATGTAACTCTCTAAATATAAAGTTGATTGATTGCAATGCAAAATGTTTTAAACAACTAGTTTTATTAGTTTCAGGTAAATATAATTAGACAGGTTAATAAAGGAGACATGCTTTAAAATAAATAGGCAATGATGTTTTATGAGCACATCACAGCATCGGGCAAAACAATTGGTTTTAGTTTAAATCACAGTTAGTGTTTACACATATAGTGCTTAGCTGTTCTTTTATTAGTAAATATTGTGTTTAGTAAATATTTTTGCCTCTTATACTATTGCTTACCGGAATGATCAGAAATTATAACAAAGGAAGATCTGATACTCTAAATTCAATTTATACTAGAAACTGCTTAAGTATTAGAGAGGAAGTGAAGGAGAGATCAACATTTGAAATGTAAGAAAATGAAGGAATAGGATAAGAAATTATGTAGGAGGAGAAGGCATTCTGGTATTCCTTTTTGGAAGTGGGCCAAATTCTTGCCTTCATGTAGCTTACTTTGTAGGGAGGAAACCCACCTTGAGATAATGTAGTGTCAAATTGTGATAAAAATGCCCCTCTTACTAATTAGGTTGAACATTCTTTTTCCATTGCATTTTACATTTTTTAAAATAACAGCTTTATGAAGATATGATTCATATACCATGACATTTATCCTTTTAAATTGTATAATTCAGAAGGTTTTTTTGTTTGTTTTATTAGCCAAGTTTTAGCAGAGTTCTCTCTGAGTGTCTCTCTTCCAGGTGTTTCTCTGAAAGCTGCCTTCTTCTTTTGGCCTCCTGCCCATTAGGATGCGCTAATTACCAGATGACTGCTCTGCATTTTGGTGTGGTGCCCCAGGGCATAAATTGCTCAGTGGTCTGGTGTTAAATTATGGTCGGGGTAGTTTTTGTGACAACTCTTTGAGGTTTGTCCCAACTGCGGGTGTGCTCCTCTTAGCTTTATCTCCTTGTTTTTTTTTTCTTTTTTTCATGAACTAGCTGACTTATGATTTAGCTTGTTCTCAATGAAGAGGGGTTATTGTTTTTAAGGCGCCCTTAAGGTTGAACTTCCTGGCACTTTGTTTCAAATAAAATCAGTTACTTTTGTGAGAGCTTCAGAGCCCTTATAGTCTGCCTGTCCTCCAGGGCAAACTGCTTGAGTACCGTTCTGTTCTGGGCAGAGGACTGGGCAGAGGACTGGGCAGCAGCCTCTGGCTTCCTACTTCTGGTTTCCTATAAGCAAACTGGGGTGAGGATAGTGGGGCCCCAGCAATCTCAGCCTACCACCCTCTGGTAAAGCTTCTGTTTCATAGGTGGAGACTGGGTGGAAGAAGGGAGTCTCTGCTTTCTTAGCCATGGTCACCAGGAATTTAGCCTCTTTAACTTGGAGTGGGAGGGGATGAGAAATGCTGATGATTTACCTTTCTCTGTGACAATCAAGGCTTACTGTATAAGATCTGAGAGGGAGCTTTGTTCTCTGGGCCACACTACCTGGAATGGAGCTTCTTTCAACCTGAGCTGGGGCAAGGCAGGAAACAGGTTATGGCTCAGATGCCATTAACTGTCCCAATACCAAATTTTAGTAGATGTTCTCAAATAATATTTCTTTATTCAAATACACCCTTAGGACAATTTCCAGACTTTAAATGGTTGTTTTTTAAAAAGAGTTTTTGCCAATTTTGCTTGTATCACTGGAAGTGAAACTCTTCAAACTACTTAATTCTAAGTATTCCTAAAGTTCAAAGATGTCTTCTCAGTAAGGAAATTACCATACTGGGTAACTGACTAATTTTTTTTTTCTTATCTTTTCTGAACAGAGGTTTTGGTCAGACATGAAACCCAGAACTACCAATATCAGAGTAGTTTTTGCACTACCCTGACTCATATTAAAGACTTTATAATCACTATATATATCATGAGCTAAAGATGTTATTTTCATGGTTTATTTACTTAATGTTCTGCTGCCCACAGAAATATGCAGCTTCCTGCCGGCATGTTTACTTGATTGGATTTTGTGTTTCTTTGGCTCTATTGGCATGTGGGTGTTTTCTCATAGGACATTTAATATTTTTTTGCATTCTTTTGTGTCCTTAGAATCATACAACTTACAGATATTTAAATTGATATGCAATTAAATTCTGAACTTTTAAATGGCTTCATCTGATCTGAAATTACATTTTATAAAGTACTTTTACTGACATCTATGCATTTCAGTCATATACAGAATTTCATATAAAAAGTCAAACTTAAAATTTTAGAATCTGAATGTGCCTCATTTTTTAAATTGTATTGAAGAATTCTTTCCAACTGTCACCCTTGATATGCTTGTCAATATACCTAGCTCAGTTGATCACTCTCTCCTCCTTTCTGTGCTTACTTCTGTTTACTCTTTTTGTCACCACTGAATGACTGACTCCCTTCCTAAAATCTGCTCACATTCCTGAGAGAGAATCCAGCATAGGCCAGTGATCACACCAAATCACTTCATATGTCACTGGCAAGAAAGTATATTGGTTTTCCTTGAGTTAATCATCCATTTCAGTTTTGATGATGGAGTGGGGGAGTGAGGCCATGTTGTAAAACACATTTATACCTCTGCATAAGATGATCATGTAGATCAGGGGTGTCAAACGCATTTTCACTGGGGGCCACATGAGCCTTGTGGTTGCCTTCAAAGGGCCGGATGTAATTTTAGGGCTGTATAAATGTAACTACTCCTTAACAGTCACGTGAGAGCTCAGCACTGGTGTCAGGCCGGATAGAACAAGGAGGAGGGCCAGGTTTGGCCTGAGGGCCTTGTGTTTGCCACCTGTGGTATAGATAATTTCTTCAGTAGGAGTACAGGTTTGACAGTTTCCTGCAGAATGAGGTGGTAGCTATAATTGAACTAATGTACAAACATTTATTAATATAAACTTTTTTTACCTTGGGCTATAACTCTGCATAAGCAAAGTTATAGAAGTAGATAGTAGTCAGTTTTGTAGTAGTTATAGTTAGTAAGCTGTTGGGAATTCCCTTTTATGTAGCATTCACTTGTATACTATTGTAATGTCATAGAGCATCTGTCTAATAGTGATGTGAAGATTTACTTCCATGATTTACTGTGTCTGGCTGCTTGCTGAATTTAATACTATAAATGAACAAATCAAATGTAGGATTTAATGCTAAAATATCCATGTATGTTCCTGTAGTTTTGGGAAGGACACTCAAGAAAGAGGTCATCAGTTGCCCCTGGAGAAGAGATACCCTAGGCTGGAGGACTCAGAGGAGAAAGGCACCCTTTCATTCCATCTGAGTTTTGTGATGAGCATCAGTGTCTCTGAAACAGTAGTAAAGCACTAAGCAGTGGCACAAGGGAAAATAGACAGACACTCTGTGTACATAATTCTTGCCAGCTCTAATTTGGGGGCTGCTGTTTGGGTTTCTTCTCACAATTAGTAAGCTCTCCATGTTGATTGATGGCTAAATTTGATTAGAACACTCTTCTAGGCAATAAAAACTCTGTTCTAATTTTTGTCATTATATTGTTCCCTCCAACTTCAGATGATTTAGAAAAGTTGCTAGGTTTCTCTGTAATGTGAGATCTGTTCTTGATTTGGAATACAAGTTAGTAGAAGTGTTGCTTCATGAATAAAGAGGCCATGGCAGTGACTTAGAAGTATTATTTTACTACAGATAACTAAGACAAGATTTTTTGTAGTACTTTGATCTGTATAAATGGTAAAAAAATCTACTTGAAGCTTTTTTCAAAGTCTTGTATCTAAAGTCTGAGAGACTATATTTTTGGTGTTTCATTTTAAAAGAATGCCTTTAGCAAATGTCTTTATAAAATATAAAATAAAGTTGGGTTATGTTCAAGTTTTAGGTTATTGTTGTATCATTGTAGTCTAAACACTTACAGGCCTTTTTTTTTCTTCTTGCCCGGTAGCTGGTCTCAGAAAATGTCTTTGTGTTCATTTCTACCAGTGCATCCTTTACACATACCTACCCACTTGTACATAATTCAGCATCCAGCAGTGGTGAGTAAGATTTTGTAAAACACACAAGTTCAAATAGACTATTAGTACACAAGCAGAAACACACATATGAACGTATTCATTCCTCCCAGCTCTTCAGCATTTCTGGCAGTAAATTTATGATAAATGCTTTTTTTGGAGGGGAAATAGTTTCTTTTATGTCATTTGGTAGTGTAGTGCCATATGCTTTGGAGATAGAGAAAATAGTGTTATTTTATAAAAACTGTTGAATAGTATATAAATTTAGAACTCTAGTAATTTTGTGTGAAGGAAAAATGAGATTTTTGTGAGTAAAAACCTAGGAAAATCAGTGCTTTTGAAATTATAATTATAGCTTATATTCATTGATGTCTTCTGGTAAAATAGAAGTAAATCTCAGCATTTTATTTTCTTTTTATTTATATTTTATTATGTTATAGTTTATTATGTTACAGTTGTCCCAGTTTTTTCTCCTTTATACCCCTCCACTCAATACCCCCTTACTCCCTCAGGCAGTCCCCCTACCATTGTTAATGTCCATGGGCCAGCGTATAGTTCTTTGACTACTCCATCCTATCCTGTACATCCCCATGGCTATTCTGCAACTACCTATTTGTATTTCTTAATCCCATCACCTCTTCACCCTTTCCCCTACATGCACCGCCCATCTGGCAATCATTGAAACTCTTTCCACATCCATGATTATCTGTTTTTGTTTGCTTAGTTTTTTAGATTCAATTATTGATAGATATATATTTATTGCCATTTTACTTTTCATAGCTTTGATCTTTTAAAAAACAACTCCTTTTAATATTTAATATAATAATGGTTTAGTGATGATGAACTCTAATTTTTTCTTGTCTGGGAAGCTTTTTTTATCTGTCCTCCTATTCTGAATGATGTCTCTGCTAGGTAAAGTAATCTTGGCTGTAAGTCACTGCTTTTCATGACTTTGAATATTTCTTGCCAACCCCTTCTAGCCTGCAAAGTTTCTTTTGAGAAATCAAGAGTTGACAGTCTGAAATATCCCTCCAGCACTTCAGCTGCCACCTGTGGCTGCCTGGCCAGCCCTCTCCAGTCTCCTCTGCACTCTGTATCAGGCATGTTGCTGTGAAGCTGTTTCTTCTGTATGTCTGTGGTTATAAGGCTTCTCTCCTGCTGTTGTTCAGTTGTTTATGCCAGATGATTTCTCCACAATTTAGTTGTAATTCCAGATTTATCCTGGGAGGAGGTTAGTGTAGGGTCCACTTACTCCTCTGCCGTCTTGGATCCCCTGCCTATTATTATATAGCCTTTGTTTCCATCCTTTTACTTTCAGACTGTGGGTCTTTTGATCTGAAGTGAGTCTCTTGTAGGCTGTAGGGAACCGCTTCACAGGACATGGAAATGTAGCTCAGCACCCACGTGGAAAACCAGTGGGGGGTGAGTTGGCATGCAGGACCATGCCCGTGAAGTTCTCCCTTGGGAAATCAGGCCTGCACACCTAGGCTGCTTTGTGACTTGCGATTGCTATGCTATCTTCAAAGTAACTTCCTGAAGTCTGTCGTAATTCTCCCAAGGACTGAAATGTAACTAGACCTGTTACTCTTGCCATTTCTTGCATTTGCAACATTTTTCAATGGACTGAATTTAGGAGTTTGGGTCTTGGCAGCCCTTGGGTTCCTCCTTGTCTTAATCCTTATTTGTGCTTTATGATATATATGGAAGTTGTTTTCTTGTGACTGCATTAAAAAACAGCAAATAGTAGGTTTCACAGGCCTCACAGCTATAATTGATTTAAAAAACAAAGAAGGGGGAGATGTTGGGAGCCACCCTGCCTGGTTTCAGGAGCTGTAACCCCCCCCTCCCCCGCCACCCATAGCTAAGGCTGAGTGAGCAACCTTTGGATCATAAGCCACTAAGGAGACATAAGCCACTAAGAAGTGGCGTCCCTGGCAGGGGCGCCACTTCTGCTCCATTTACTTCATCCATAACTGGCCCCCAATGCTTGATCAGTTGGCCAATGATGGGTAAGATTCCTCAAGTTACTAAGTTGTGAGCTCCAATAGATATACCACTATCCTGTAAAGATTTCAACTTGTTACCTGCTTTTTCCCATATTTTTCTTTTTTTTTTTTTAGGGGGGAATGTGAACACAAACCCCCACTACCACAAATTATGCAGTCGAGTTTCCCATATTTGGGGAAATCACAGGGGTCAGCACATCCAGAGTTCAGTGGATAAGCCTTGACCTGAGAAAACCACCTTCATGATCATGGTATCTCCCCTGCCAGGTAAGTATCTTTTCCCATATTTCAATATCTAAGGTTCCTTTATCAGGAAAAGCAGGGCAGTATTTTATAGTTTGTAAAAGCTGAATGAGATGGCATTCCTTCCTCTTACATCCCGCTCCCCAGAGGAGCTGCTGTAACACATGCAGGTAGACTTCCTGCTCCTTAGATAAACTAGAACCCATTTTTGCCTTTAAAAAAGGCTTTTTACTTTCGATTATTGTTTTTTCAGATTCTGCCATCTGTGCTGACCCTAGCTTAGTTAGCTATCTGAGGATATAACGTGGTGGGTCGAAATGTTCTGCTGGTGGAAAACAGTCAGGGAGAGGGTACCGGACTTTCCTAGTACCCCAACCCTGCTTCTGTGTCTTGGGTCCTCCCTCAAGCATTTAAGATTGCGAGTGGCGGCTCGAAGTGCTAGGTGACCAACCTTTATATTGTGCATTCCTGGACGAGCCAGAAGTTAGATTAAGCAGTGTTGGAGGTCCCTATAAGGCCCCTGCACGTCTTGGGAATTGATCCCAGACACCCTTGCAAGGTTCTGACTCATGTGGGAACACTCAATTTCTTGAGCTGAGGGGAGGAAGTGCCTTTTGTCTTTGGAGCTTGGCAAATGCCAAAAGCTCTCATATAAAACCTATCCTCTTTTCCTTATGCAGGTGGACTGAGAGAAAAGGCAAAATTGAAAGGACCACAAGAGGTGGCTTGAAAGAAACAATTTGCTGATGTGCTTGTAGATAGCCCTGTAATTAGTTGCTGTTTTTAAAGCTGATTAAAGGGAAAGTCTTTGCTCTTTCTCCCAAGCCTAGACCTAGTTGGGGGTTGTGCATTGGAGATGGACTTGTGAGTGTTTTTACAGTGTGCCTCTTGTTGTGTGAGCTTTTTCTTGCAGATGGTGGGAAATCTAGTATTCTGACCTGGCTCACGTCCCAACTTATACCTCTCAGGGGTGCCTTCTAGTGGCGAGCGCCCTTGTGGATCTTAACTGCTTGACCCCTGTCAGTGAGGTTGTGGCAAATCCTTGGGGGGAGAGAGCAGGGCTCCTGCTTAAAAAAAAGGTACAGTTGCAAAGTAGTCCTAAGAGAGGGCCACCTAGGAAGAAAACCCTTTTCCTCTGAAATCCAACACATCCTACAGCCTTCCTGAAAAGCACTCAGGGTCATCGGCCTTTACTTGGGCTGATGCATGCTTACTCCAACCAAGTTGGTGTGTTGTCCATAACAGTGATGGCTCGCAGCCTTTGGGTCCCTGTTCAGGTGCCAGCTGACACGTGCATTGGCCCATAATGCACCAGTGTTATGGATAAGATATGAGACAAATTCACATGGACTACCGAGTCCTGTGGAGGAAAAGGAACAGCATGGCTACCCTCTCAAGGTGGCCTGGCCACTCTCTCAAGAGGAGAATGCTACGTGCCCTTGCCCTGACAGGCTTTTATTGGGTTTAATTTGCACAGGAATACAAGTAAAGCTCATTAATCATTTTTAGGCAGTAAGGATCAAACAACAGATAGCATACAAAGAACTGCTAGGGCTTATTTTGAGTCAGGGTCTGTTAGCTAAAAGGCTACAAAACTTTGGGAAACAAACTCATTTCCTGCTTGGACCCTTATCATTTAATTGAGAGCATTCTTAGCAAAGCAGGTTTCACAGGACTTTACATATTCTTTCTCAGGCCTGATCACCCAGGGAACCTGCCCTTTCTAGCACAGGGCTGCACCACCTTCTGTCATTGTTTTGGCTTAAGTCAGGCAGAGGAAGCCAGACAGCCAAGAGATTAGGAGACTTCTCGCAGACAGAATGAAGACTCAGGCTTTATCAAAGCTGAGGGGCGAGGGTCCATCACCCCCTTTTGCTATAGCCCCCCAAGTCCTTCTCTGGGGCCTCCACATTATCATGCCTGTCTTAGATCATTCCCCCCGTTGGGGAATCTTACCTGTCATTGGCTAACTGACCAAGCATTGGGGGCCAGTTATGGATGAAGTAAAAGGAGCAGAAGCAGCGCCCCTGCCAGGGAGATAAGCTTTGTCTCCTTAGTGGCTTATGGTCCAAAGGTTGCTCACTCAACCTTAGCCATGGGGGGATTACAGCTTCTGAAACCAGGCAGAGAGGCTCCCAACAGTAGGCACCACGTGTAAGATCTTATTTTCTTATCCATTCAGCCACCCTATGTCTTTTGATTGGAAAATTTAACTGATTTATGTTTAAAGTAATTATTTATAGATATGTACATATTACCATTTTATCATTAATATTTTAACTCTTTTTTCCTTCTTAAAGATGTCTCTTTAACATTTCTTGTAATACTGGTTTGGTGGTGATGAACTCCTTTAGCTTTTTCTTGTCTGTACAACTTTATCTGTCCTTTGATTCTAAAGGAGAGCTTTGCTGGGCAGAGTAATCTTGGTTGTAGGCCTATGCTTTTCATCACTTTGAATATTTCGTGCCACTCCCTTCTGGCTTACAGAGTTTCTGTTGAGAAATCAGCTGACAGTCTTATGGGAACTCCTTTTTAGGCAACTATCTTCTTCTCTCTCACTGCTTTAATCTTTGGCATTTCAATTGTAATGTCTTGATGTGGACCACTTTGAGACCATCTTGTTTGGAATTCCTTGAGCTTCCTGGACCTGTATGTCTGTTTCCTTCACTATGTTAGGAAAGTTTTCCATCAATAACTTTCAAATAGTTTTTCAATTTTTTGCTCTCTCTCTCCTTCTTCTGGTACCTCTATAATGTGAATGCTTGTATGCTTGATGTTGTCCCAAATGCCCCTTAAACTATCCTCATTTTTTTGGTTTCTTTTTTCTTTTTGCTCTTGTGATTAGGTGTTTTCTGTGCTCTTATTTCCCAAATTGCTGATTTGGTTATTTGCTTCATCTACTTCCTGTTGATTTTCTATAGCTTATTCCCCATTTCAGTTATTGTATTCTTCATTTCTGATTGCTGCTGCTTTTTTTTTTTTAAGAATTTTTATGAGTTTACTTGAGCCAAACTGATGATAACTGCCAGGAATCAAAACCTCAACATATGGAGAAAATGCTCTGGAGAGTGGCAGTTTTGCACCTTTGTTATACATTACAGTCAAAGGAGGAGGCATAAGGGGGTCACATGAAATCTGTTGGTGGTAGATTGGGGAGTTGGGAAAAGCAAAGCAGGGAAATCTCTGGGATTGGGTAAAAAGTAAAATGATAGGCACATACTTCTTTTATGTAGGTAGGTACATGGTAGTTAAGTCAATAATTATTGTGATAACAATAACAAGGAGTTGATTTGTGGTCTCCAATAACAATGAGGGGATTTTTGGTCTCCGCTCTGGTGCATGGTTGTTCCTGAGGGACTCAGAAAAAGGGAAGTTAACTTGACATTCCATAAATATGTTATGATAGATGCAAAAAGATAATAGGCTCAACTAACCTTAACCCTAACCCTAACCCTAGGACATGACCACCCACCATGAACTGCTTTTAGTTAAAAAGTTTTGATTTCAGACCATTTTATGTGGTTTCTTTAAGTCTCTGATTTGTAGACCTGCCACATAGGCCTCTCCTGAGCTTGTCAGGTTTTGTATGTGGCCTTTTTGTCCATATGTCCCCTTTTGGTCATAAATTAGTCCAAAGGATGTATCAATGACCAATCTTTTGGTTGGATGATGAGGTCCCATGGTGCTAGGAAGGCTCATTCCTAGGAAGTCTCAGTGTCAGCATTTGTCTTGCTGAATGACGGACCTTTGGGGATGGGGCAAAACTGTAACCTTGGAGGGAAGTCCAGGCCGAAGTTTTTCTCCAAAGGGAAAGGCAGGCAAATGGGAGGCAGTCAGCTCATAGGGGTTTTTAAAGGAAACCACTCTGGACCATTTCTAACTTACAAGCTATTATGATCCAATTTTTCTTTTTGCCCATCTCACTTTTCTATATATTGCAGTTAATATAAAATTCACTTATAGTTTTAGGGCATACCATATGTTTTAATTTTCATAATCCAACCATGAGATGGGTTCTATCTCCATTTTTGTTTCCTGTCTTCTTGTTGAAGTTCTCACTGAGATCACTGAGAATTTTTTATAACCAGTTTTTAAACTCTACATCTTGTAGATTGTCTCCATTTTTTGTTTAGTTCTTTTTTCTAGAGCTTTGTTCTGTTCTTTCACTTGGGACATGTTTCTTTCTCATTTTGGCAGCCTCCCTGTGTGGGTTTTTTTTTATTTTTTATTTATTTATTTTTTTAGGTATTATCTAGAGCTGCCACATCTCCTGGTCTAGGCAAAGTGGCCTTATGTAGTAAGTGTCCTTTGGGGCCCAGTGGTGCAGTCTCTCTGGTCACCTGAGCTGGGTGTTCTAGGTTTGTCTCCTGTGTGGATTGTGTGTACTCTCCTGTTGTATTGGGCCTTAATTGCTGTTGGCATGTCAGAGAGATTGATCCTCAGGCTGATTGGTTGTGAGTTCTGGCCGTTACTACAGTGGAAGAGCTTTTCTGTAGGGGCTAACCCTACAGAGCAGGATTTGCTTTAGCCACGTTCTGGTGCCTGCTGAGTATGCCCTTTGGGTATGTCATTTGTGGTGTGGTGGTGGTTGAGTGGTGCTCTGGTGTGGTCTGAAGCTGGCCACTGGGTGTGTTGGTTCTGGGGTTTCTTGGAACATGCAGGCCAAGGTCAGCTATTTCCTGGGGCCCTTTCATGTTGGGGACCGCTCTGTGCAGTTTCCAAGACTGAAGCCTACACCACTTGAAGACTAGAACAAAGATGTAAAAGATACCAATCCACCTTTTTTCCTTTTCCAAATGATGAAACATGTATTCTTTAGTTGCAAATTGTTAAATATTCCATTTATTGGGCAATTTTTTCAGTGTTAACAATATATTTTGGTCATAATTGTGACAGCTTGGTCACTAGCATTATTTTGTTGCATTTAAACTTAAAACACTGTGCAGGTCAAATTTGCATAAAATGATAGCTCACTGGCCATAACAGTTTTGGGTAAAGCTTAACTTTAGATGGTGAATGCTATTATAATTTTTCAGACTACATAATATAATGTCTTTTTATTATTATGTGGTTCCAGACATAAGATGGCCTTTATAGCATAGGTGTTTTCATTAATTTGTGGCAACTTTAATGTTTTTAATTCCGCCCTTCCTTCCTTGTTAACTCAGTTTAAGTAATCATTCCATGACTGCATGCTGCAAATGTATTTTATGTATATAGAGTGCATTCTTACTTTCCTTATCAGCCAAGGACTTTTCCAGTCTTTTATCTATCTCAGTAACACTGGACTGCCTCATGCCTAATCTCAGGACACTATTTTCAATAAAAGAATATACCAATTTGATGACTCCCTCTAAAACATGATTGAAAACCATTTGGATAGGCTCCAGGAGGTGGTTATGGGTAGTTATGGGAGGTGGTTTCGTTAAGGAGAGTTAGTACCATGAATGCTATGGAGGTGATATGATGGAGCATTTCAAAGAGTGTGTGTGTGTATATATAATTTATATATATATATATATATATATATAAATTATTTAAGGATAAAAATAAAACAGTTCTCTCAAAAATAAAGCTTTACAGGAAAGTGATAATATGTTAAACTGCTTGGCCTTTTGTGAACAATGTATATGTAACCATAATGATGTAAACACTATTTATTGATTTAACTAAAAATATCTGAAGACATGAGTGTAAGTAGTCACATCAGAGAGCTGAATCCTCATTTATGGTATTGGTATTATGGAGGCTGTAGTTATACAGGGCAGTAGTTAAGAGTAAGGGCTCAGGAACCAGACTTCTTGAGTTTAAATGTATAGTAACTCTGTAAACTGTAACCCTGGGCAAATTAATTAAACTGTTTCTTCAGTTTTCTCATTAGTAAAATGGACATGTTAAAAGATACACTTCTTTACTGGTTTATTGTGAACAGTAAATTATACATACATGGTTACATATAAAATGCATTTTGAATTATATACATTAAAGTTAGCTGTTATGATAAGTAGTTTGTAGATGATTGATAAATTATAAAATTGATAAAGCAAGAAATAGCAGAACACACATATTCTTTAGAGATATGGAGATAACTTCCAGAAGATATAACTGGAAGAGGTAAAGTGATTACCTCTGAAAGTGCTATAGCAGAGTGTATCAAGGAACATTTTAAATGTTTTGGCACCATTTAATTTGATATATGTAGATGTGTTATTTTGATAAAAGTTTGGATATTGATTTGAGTATGTGTCAAAGTCTTGTAGAGGTGGTCTGGAGGTAAGAAAGCAGTACGAAACAGTGTAAAACATTCTCAAATGCCCCATCTCACCTGTCTTCTAGTTCCATTTATGTATTAGCTGCTCTGGATTGATCTTTTCATGTTTCCTTAGAACTCCAGCATGTTTTGTGTTCTTTTTGTTTTAATCCCAGCAAATTATTACTCTCCTGTTTTCTAACTTTTTATTAGGTAGATGAATTTACTCTTAGCATCTTTAAATCTATTTTTTATATATACTTTAATCAACACTCCAGGAACCCAGGAGCAAGAGAAGGACACACAAAAATGTCTCTAAAGGGTGTGTGTATGTGTACACACGTGTGTGTTTGTGGTTGTTGAATACTGTTACCACAACCCGGTATCTGAACAATCTTTACAGAAAATTGTGGTTTGGTTTATTAACTCTCAGCAACCCGTTCCTGAGCTCCAAGAAGCTTACGTTTTTCTGAGCTACCTGATCTTTCTTCTGGGCAAGAGACATTTTGAGATGGTGCCACCTCTTATTTTTAACTTTTTTCTTAGGCTTCTTTCATAGACTGGATTCTCACGTATAGCAGCACAAGCTTTCTTACACATCTCCTACATCATGTCTGAAGTTGCCTCCTTCTTTATGTACTGAGAGAATTATTTTTTATAAGCATTTTCATCTTCTTCCATTAGGTAATGCCTATAGTTTGCAACGTTTTGACTCATGATGTGCTTCCAATGTATTTCTGCATCAAATTCCTTGCTTTCTGAATCGTAACCAGAGAATTGTCTGGTACTGTGAGGGATAGACTAGCCTCCATCCACGGCTCCTTTTAGGGACCCCAAAACTTTATTTTCAGTAGTTCTGGCAAGGTGCAGGCACCAGGGTGACCATCAGTACTTTCCACATTGTATTCATCTCAGTTACCTCCACTTGACCTTCAAAGATAATGTGCATGCCCATAATATTGAGAAGCCCACAGACCTGTATCAGGCCAGTGTGGTGTGCTGGAGCATAATTTGTGAGGCCATCATTCACACCATACTTTGGGAGTTCATGAGTGTAACTATCATGTTGGGGACCACCCTATGTGGTTTTGGAATTTGCAGCCCTGTGAGAGCAGGCTCCGAAAAGGGGCTAGTAAGTCTCCCTGGAAAACCAAGTAACGCAGGTGGCAGACATGACCCAACTCTAACACCAAGGGTTCCTGTGGGAATCAGGCCCGATAAATACATTGTATCCTTTGAAGACTGCTCTGTTTTGCTTTGTATGGCTCTGTTGATACAAACCAGAAGCTGAAGTTCAAGGCATAAGTATTAACTCATTATCTCATGAAACATGTCTTTAAGACCCTCTGGTGTCAGCATGACTAATAGACCCTAACCTGTGACAGATCTTTGTGTTCCTTCAGTTGTTATCTATAGATAATACCTGTTTTTGTGTGATTACAGGCTTTTGACATTGATTGATGAGCTATGCATGTATACAGCTACACATACTGATCCCAGTAAAAGGCATTTGGGAGAAGGGCTCAGGACATTCCCCACTGGAGGGAATCCCCACCCCCTTTCCCACTGGAACAGCAAGATTGTGTCCGGCGACTTATCTCTCATCTGCGGCGAATGGGAGGAATTCTGCAGGCTGGAGTTCCTCCCACACTATCCTATCTCCTTACATATGGGTGTAAGCAAACTGACAAATTTTATTTTTGTTGGTGACAACATGAACTATCATCCTGTTTTCGGGTGCATTGTTCTTATTTTTATCCTGGGCTACCAAGATTTTCTAGGCATAAAAATCAGTTTTTTTCTCTTGTTGTCTTCTAAATTTTCCTTGGTACCTCTTAAAGTAGACCTTATTTTTGACAATTTTAACAAACCCCAGCCTGCGGAAGAGAGCCCCACATCCACGCCTCACCCCGGACCTGCAGGCCCGGTGCGGCTCTGGTGGGGGCGGGGGTTGTGCTGCACAATACGTTCTCTTTCTGTTATAAACAAGTTTATTATAAATTCATTTGTAACTATTTTAGTAAATTCATATGTAACATTACTGTTTTGTGTATTAATTTGCTAGATAAAATGATATTCCTAAAGTATGGTAATATTTGCTATTCCTTGGAATTCTTCTATAAGGATGATCTGTCTTTATACTCCCATTTATCTGTTTATATCAGTCAGGACTCTCTATTTTATACTTTGGGTTATGGTCTGAATACTAGATTACTTACTTTGTTACTCAAGTTGTTCCAGGTGGGCCATTAGAGCTCTTTGCGACCAGCTTCTGTGTGCCATGGACATGCCTCATCATTTTGTTTTCTGAACACTTCCTTGCTTTCTGGGCACAAAGATCTAGGCAATTATCTTCCAGCTTACATACTATTGTACAAAATGTAATTACTATTAGAATAAAAAGTTTGTCAGAATAAATAATTCAATTTAGTTAAGCACACATTTACATTTTCATTATTTTAACTATGACTTACTATAATCTTGTTTTGATCAATAAACTCCTTAACATACCCAAGTGGAATAAAAATGTACACTTGTAGTATATTTACTACCGATAATATCAGAGAAACTTTGTTTTTTTTTTAAGATTTTATTTATGTTTAGAGAGAGGAGAAGGGAGGGAGAAAGGGAGAGAAACATCCATGTGAGAGAGAAATTGATCTGTTGTCTTTGTAGGCACCCTGACCGGGACCAAGCCCACAAACCTAGGCAGGTGCCCTGATTGGGAATTGAACTGGCAGCCTTTCACTTTGTGGGAGGGATGACACCCAACCAAGTGAGCCACACTGGTCAGGGTGAACCTATAGTTTTTTTTTTTTGTTTGTTTGTTTTAATGAAACTGTAGTCTGTAGATTTGTGAACATTGTGTATAATGTTATGAATCAAATATTGATCATAAAATTTTTAAAGTGTGTTTTTTTAAGAAAATCTACATTTTAATTAATTCTTTAATTGAAGGAAAGCCAAGTGTCTCAGACAGCTCCTCTACTAGCAGCATGCCTCCCCCAGGACAAATGTAAAGTCAAGACTGGTCATTGCTTCAGTGAAGAAAGGTAAGTTAAAATAATTTTTTCCACACAGATCTTTAAAAAATGACTTTTTGAAGCTTATCCTTTAGACCTAGAACATGATACATTGTAAGTGGTCAAAAAATTTAAGTTTTGCCTTTTCTCTCAAAATTATACAAGACAAAGCAAAACATAAACAAAAATACCTCCCCAAACAGATCAAAGTGGAATAGACAAAGGAATGATCGCATTACCTGAATTCTCAACATATGTATGTATGTATGTATGTATGTATGTGTATATATATATATATATGTTGAGCCTAAAAGGACATGTATATTAACTGTTTATTTCATTTTTGTTCAGGATGGTAGGGTACTTATATTAGTTTTGGTTTAGCCTTTTCTTTTTTTATGTTATCTATAAAAAACATTTATAGAAGTAAACACGTCTGTTTTTAACCCATCAAAACTTTAAGATGCAGTGACTAACTAGTACTATATTTAGTATTGTAGTTGCAGGCACACACTATATATTTTTTAAGGATAAAATGCCTTTTTTTGTCATATTTAAAATACTCTTTTTGATGAGACCCAGTATTTTTATGGTTGACATGGCTATTATACAGCAGTCACTAGTTGATATCTTCATTGACAGATCTATAGTGTCTTGGATCTTATCTGTCATTCCATTACATAACCCATTATCATAAATGGGTACAAATACATGTTTTATATATATATATATATATTAAATTTTTCTACAAGTCTTTTTTATACCTTCGAATCACCTTTGTTGCTTTTCTGCCCATTCATAAAGCCTTCACAAATTTGATCCTGTCTACATACTAAATGTATTTTTAGATGTAAAATTTAATGTCTCTTGAAAATATGGAGATTTATTTTTTCAGTTCACTTATGAAAATGTGAAGTAAGACTTGTTCTAGTATGAAGCCTGGGGAATTGACCAAGCTTTTTCCTTCCTGTGTTATTTTTTAGCTTCCTTTTGTAATTTAGCTTCATGTTATGAAAATAACATAATGTTAGAACTTTATATAATTTTTTCTGTTCTCTGAAACTGTTGATTAGGCACAATTTTCTCATATGGAGTTTTCTGTTGTAGATTTTGTATTGCCTTGCCCATAGAGGAGAAATTTGCTCTGGGCTTGGTTCTGCTATTGGGAATTTTGCCATTTTGTTGAGCATGGGAACGAGGTTCAGAGCTCATCACATGGGGAACGGCTACATCATTTACACTGTGACCCCCCTTTCACACTGTGACCCCCCTTTCACACTGTGACCCCCCTTTCTTTCTTTATAATGATAGTTTTTCTGTAATTCTTGGGTGGGTGTGATATATAGGTGGAACCTCTTCTACCTAATCTGCCAACTTGGACCTAGGTTATTTTATGGCAAAAGTGGTGAGTATCTATGGTGGTAAAATTGGAACCTATATGGCTATCTAACTCCTCCATGAATGTGCTTGAGGATGAGAAGTTTGATACTTTTCCAAGTAGCTCATCCTATTTGAGCCCACTATATTAACTCGTTCAGTTTTTTTCCGTGGTGCCTAACATAGTGCTTACTCAGTAAATTATTATACACTGATGAGTTTTTAACTAAAGCTCATTAAGATTATTGATTTAGTATTAATCTGGTAATTATTAATTTAAGTTTTTCTTAGAGGATGTGGTATAACCATAGAGAAATGATTATGAGACATATTACTTTTAGTGTCTTTTGTAAATAGAATTAAAAAATACTTTTAAGTTTTTACCTCTATTATGTAAGAAAACAATTGGGTTTTACATATCAACTACATATCCAGTGATTTTCTAAATTGATTTTTAAGTTGTAGAAATTATTTTGTAGATTTCCTAGGTCTTTCTATGTAAGTATCATTATTATATGCAAATAGGGTCATTGATACTTCTTCCTTTCATATCTTTATAACTTATTTTTCTTGCCTCTTTGAAATAATTGGGACCTTCAGTCCCATGCATATTAGAAGTGGTAAAAGACAACATATTTACCTCTATCTCGGCCTCAAAGAACATTGTTAAATATGGTATCGACAGCACACTTTTGTTGATGCCTTTTACTGGTTTGAAGAAGATGCTGTTTATTGTCTTTTAAATGGCTTCTTAACTTGTCTTCTTTCCTTTCAAGCTTATTTTGTTTCCTGTACACAGAGGCTGTCCCGTTTATTTTTACATCTCCAGTCCCAAAGTGCTTTGATATGTATTTTTATCTGTATTTTTGAATGAAGTTCAACAAGAATAATAAAACTTTTGTTAACCTACGAGGTTAAAAAGATTTCTTAAAAAAATCCTTTAGAGATCCTGAACTTTCAACGGTTTGTCAGAAGTCTGGCACATTAATATTGTATCCAGGGCTGAAGCTGCTCATTTGAAAGAATTTGTATTAGTCTCCTGTTTATCCTTCCACAGGCATCGTCATCAATGGCACATGGAGCCAGGCTAAGGACACACTTTATAAGAATTCCATGTTCCCACTGCCCAAACAGGCAAATCAGTAGTATTTCTTAAAATTATTTAATTTATTTTTAACTTTACATTTTTCATTGACACTATTACAGGGGTTCCCATTCCTTCCCCACCTTTGCTCACCTCCATCCAACCCCTGTGCCCCCTTCCCTCTGACCATCATCACATTACTGTCTGTGTCTATGGGGCATGCATATATGTTCTTTGGCTATTCTTTTCACCTTCTTTCACCCAGTTACCTCACACCCCTTTTCTCTGACAGCTATCAGTCTATTCCATGTATCTATGCTTCTATTTCTATTTTGTTCATCAGTTTATTTTGTTCTTTAGATTCCACATATAAGTGAGATCATACGGTGTTTGACTTTCTGGCTAGCTTATTTCACTTAGCATAATGCTGTCCAGGTCCATCCACGCTGTTGCAAAAGGTAAGAGTTCCTTCTTTTTCATGGCTGCATATTATTTCATTATGTAAATGCACCACAACATATTTTTTTACCTACTCACTGACTGACAGGCACTTTGACTGCTTCTATACAGATATTTTAATAATTCTCTTAAAATATTCTTCACTAAGTAAAAAATAATACTATAAAATGAAAATTTAGGTCAGTTCTTGTCTAAGTTTCCCAAATATAAAAATAGTATAATTTAAGTTAACGATATTTTATTTCTAAATATAATTAGTCATTTTTACCATACCTTCAATATAGATATACCCATATACCTGCTTTTTGCATAAATTTAACATAGCTGTTACTTAGTTTAGTTGATCCATTCAATTTCTGTAGTAATATAAAAATTTTGCTCCATATGCATGAGAGAAAATAGGAAAAATCAGAAATAAGAATTAAAATCCAAATATTGCTTTCTTTACAGAAAAATATGTTTATTTTCCAAATATGTAACCATATGTTAGCTTCATACTTACATAATTAAGGAATGAGAGAATTGTAATGCAAACCCATTTCTTGGCCTCCTTTTAATCTGGGTTTCTAATACATCCAGGCCACATGGCTGTGAATCTCTTCCCTCAGAGGAATTTTCCCAGGAGACTCTTGACATTTGTTAGGAATCCCAGGTGAATATAGAAATGTCTGTAGAGGCTCTTGACTTTCTTCATAAACTTGTTTTTAGTGAGTATTTGCATTTCCTCATTCTACTGTCTTTTAAACTTCCACTTAAAGCTCAATTTCTCACTTGAAAAGCAGAACACTGTTGGGAACACTCACTGGCTGAGACATTTCCCTGAAAACTTTTTCTTGTGTCTACACAGAACTATAACAAACTGGTTTGTTATATATCTAATCTACTAAAATTCAAATTTATCATTCTTTTAATTTTTTAATTGAGTTATAATTGAAATATTGTGTTGGTTTTGGGTATATAGCATAATATTTCAATATTCACATATATTGCAAAATAATCTCTATAATAAGTCTAGTTAACATCATCACCATACAAGTTATCATTTTTTCTTGTGATGAGAACTTCTAAGATCTACTCCCTTAGCAACTTTGAAATATGTAATACTGTATTATTAACCATAGTTACTATTCTTAGATCCTCAAAACTTACTTATTTTAAAACTAGAACTTTGACCCTTTAACCACTCTTCACCCATTTTGCCGACCCCTAACCCCAACCTCTTTTAATCACCAATCTATTCTATGTATCAATGAGCTTGTTTTTTGTTTACTTTAGTTTGGTTTTAGATTCCAAGTATAATTTATATCATATTTGTTTTTCTTTGATTTATTTCACTTAGCACAATGCCTTTCAGGTTTATCTCCTGTTGTTAAAAATAACAAAATCTCCCTCCTCTTTATTCATTCATCTGTGGACACTTAGGTTGCTTCCATATCTGGCTATTTTAAATAATGCTGTGGTGAACATGGGAGTGGGCTTTCAGATATCTTTTTAAGTCAGTGTTTTCATTTTCTTCAGATTAGTCTATTAATTTTATCCAAAACTTTAGTTTTGTTTACTTCTATTACCAGCATTGGGAATTGGCATACTTTTAAAAAAACTTACTGAATTTATTGGGGTGACATTGGTTAGTAGAATTAGGGAACCATAGAGCCTCATTGAGATATGGATACTGAATAACCTGTTTTTACTATTTAAGTGACTTCTGTACTATACCTTACAGTAAGTATGCTTTACATTAGTACCACAGCAAAATATTTACTTCATGTTCCAAAACTTCGATGTCCTTAGGGAAGAGTCAGAACAGATGAATGCAAAATATGGAATGCCAGAGGTTTACTATATTGGTGATTCATTCTTTGGACCTTTGTATCAGAGTTCACCCATGTTGTAGCAGATATCAGAAATTCATTTTTATGGTTAATATACTGTTATATGCATACACCATATTTTATCATTCATCCATTGGTGGACATTTAGTTTGTTTTTGCTTTTGGGCTATCGCAAATGGTGCTTTTATAAATATCTGTGTCCAGGTTGCTGTATGATGCCTGTTTTCAGTTCTTTTTGGAACATACCTAGGATTAGAACTGTTGGGTCATGTAGGACTTCTATATTTAACTTTTTTGAGGAACTGCCAAACTGTTTTTCAAAGCAACTACACTGTTTTATATTTACATTTCCCCTAGCAATATGGAATTATCCAATTTCTCCCTATCCTGGCCAACATTAGTTATGTCCTATATTGTTTTTAATTATGGACATCCTGGTGGGTATGAAGTGATATTTCATTGTATGGTGTTTTTTATTTTTAATCCTCAAGGACATGCTATTGATTTTAGAGACCAAGGAGGGGAGGGAGGAAGAGAGAGAGAAAAACATCGATGTGAGAGAAACATTGACCAGTTACCTTTTGTACATGCCCTGACTGAGGACCGAACCTGCAACCTAGACACATGTTCTGACTGGGAATCAATCCTGTGACCTTCCAGTTTACAAGATGACACCCAACCAACTAACTGAGCCACAATGGCTAGGGCTCATTGTGGTTTTGATTTGTTTCCCTAGTGCCTGATGATGTTGAGTGTCTTTTTATGTACTTAGTCACTTGTGTATCATCTTTGGAGAAATAGCTTTCAAATCCTTTGCTGATTTTTAAATCTAGTTATTTTTCTTATTGAGTTGTAAGTGATCTGTAGAATAGCTCCTAATTAGATACATGACTTGCAATTATTTTCACCCATTCTGTGGGTCTTTATTACTTTCTTGTGTTTCTTGAAGTGCTTTTAATTTTGATGAGGTTCAATTTATGTTTTGTTTGTTTGCTTATTGACTATTAGATTTTTTAATACTCAGCAAAAAAGAAGTGAGGAAAAAAAAACCCTGTAGGCCTTGAGTACAAATAAAGTTCAGATTGGGGAGCAGTGCTTAAGATTCCCTGGGTACCAAATGCTAGAAATACTTTCAGAAGTCAAAAACCTGTTAAGCTGTTCTCTATTAATTTAATTTAATTTGATTTACTTTTCCAAACATTCTTACAGTGGTTATTATGTCAGTCACTTTTTAAATACAAATGTTAAGTAACTTTATTGTTATAACAAATTTCATAAGGCACGTATTTTTATGGTTTCCATTTCGTAGTAGCAGAAACTGAGGTACAGAAATAGTAGGTATATGACCTTGGGAAAGTCATACTTAACAAGTGGTGGAAACAGTAAAGAGTTATAACATATATTTTTAAAGTTTCTATATCAAATATGATGTTGATATTAAGAGGTTAAGACTAACCCCTAATTTTAATCATAGAGAAGGACAGAGAAGATGTTTTATGGTAGCATGTTGAGAATGGGTAGGGCTGCTTTGGAAAATCTGCTGCAATCTGGCTAAGCATCTAATGCCATACCAGTAGGTTTTTCAAGTGTTTTATCTCTGGGAACTCATTAAATAGGCTTAATTTTTGTTATTTTAAATTATACTTGCCTACATAACTTTTAGATATATTTTGTATATCTTATGAGAGATTAGGAATAGTTGCACACACTTATCCATATCTAAGTGGTAATTATCAGCTAACATGTTATTATGCATGGAAACTTTTATTATGGCCTACACATTCTTTATATTTATTGGACAACTCATTAGATCCATGGAAAGATATAATTTCATGAGCCAAATATTTCACATTAGAAGGAGGAGAGGGAAACTGATGATTCCTGGTATTTGTGGTAATATGAGGCCATAATTTGTTTCAATACTGTTGAAACAAATCAACATTTAAAGTAAAAGTTAATATTTGCTTTTGCCTCCCTTCCAGGGAACCCTATAACTATACTTTCCACCTCGAACCTGCAGGTGTTTAGAGTTATGAGTATGTTGTGATTGCCTCCAATTTTCCTCTGTGCTCGTATGCAATACAATAACATATATGCATTCACTTCTAATGCATGTGCCCCATTCAAACATTCTTTAGTCAATGGGCCAGTGCTCTGTGCCCAAAAGGCCCTGAGTATGCAGAACCCTGAAAATATTCACAGAGCATTGTTTTCAATACTGGTGATTTAAATTCTGAGCTCTAGGTACCTTTTGTTAAAAAATATTTTAAAAATATTTTAATTATAGTAGACGATATAATATTTTTAGTTTTCAGATGCACAGCATAGTGGTTAGACATTTATATAACTTATGCAGTGATCCCATAAGTCTAGTACCACCTTATACCATACATAGTTACTAGCTGAGCTCTAAATTTCCTATTTAAGTTTCATAACAGCAGAATTCCCAGAACATGATGATAGACAGCTAATTCATGGTATCTTAGAGCAGCCTGAGCTAGGACAAAAGTTAATTTGGAGACATGCCCCCATGAGAAGGAAAATGGGATTGTAATGCGTATACATTGTCATCCCTCAAAAAGCTTTTTTAGCTTTTTTTTTAGTCATTGTTAGGATGAGTGGCAACTTTCCAAGCTCTTTAAGTGCAGAACCGGAAATGGGAAGAAGAGCAGGAGGTTGCCTTTTTACTGTTGGTTGTGTCCTTTGATGCACAGAAATTTTCCTGAGAAATGAATGACAAAGCAATTAGTCAGTAATAAACTAAAT